ATTGCTCAGCTCTGGAACTCAGTGCGATTCCCATCCCAGCTTGACCGCGAGATTCAGCTTCAGCGTCACCAGAAACCCTGAGGGAGAAGCGCTTGGGTCGACAGTTATCTAGGGATAGGCTCAAATGGATAACCGTGCTAGAATCGTAGACTCGCGTCTCCGACACACAGCACACATCAAGCTCTAGACTTGAGAGAGTACTTGCCAGAGCAGCTTGCTGACCGACTTGTCGAAGAGTGCGGAAATTAAAGGCGCCAATGTTTACCGGTTGTCTTGGCCTCAGAAAACAGTAATCGCCTGGAGGCATATGGAAGGCAGAAGAAATTGGGGGTAAAACAGTAGGTGAGAGTCGAGATCGGTTAGTAATGTCACTGTCAAAAGAACGATAACTTCTGATACTTCCCGGTCGTTTATGCTGTGGAAGGGCTAAGTTGAGTTAGACCAATTTCTACTTATTCTAAGTGATTAATCAGTGAAGTGTGTTTCCTTTTGAAGTGACTGCGACGAGTAGTTTTATTGTGTTCATGAGGATACTTGACGACTGCCAGACAGCTGTTTTTATGGACCTGTTGTGAGTGTTTTATTTTAGTTAAATCCGTTTAACAGTTGTAATTCTGCCTGGCCATCAGTTTGGGACTTTTTTTAATCTTCGCCTTCCTACTGACTTTTAGTACCCCTCTTATATCAATACCACTTGTTCTACCTTTGCTATTGTTATTCTCTTTATTAACACCTTTGGTTCCCAGTGATATTATTATCCAATTTCCCACTTCATCTTGATTATTCTTTGTTGTTTACTGGTGGTAACTATTACTGCACCACTGACTTAGACTCCTCGACGAGTTTCTCTGGAAGTCGTCTTAGGTATGTGTGTTGAAGTGAGCATAGGCACAATACTGGACGCCCACGGATACTTCTGATGCAAGAACATAAACAACAGCGATCTGGACCACTTTATCCTGGGATCTGAACTGCATTGAACTAAACTGAAGTTAGGGTAGGACCCAATTTCGAAAAATCTGGGCTTCGGCTGGATTCGAACCAGCGACAGAAACAGCATGGTCAAACGCTGCCAGTGCTCTACTAGCTGAGCTACGAAACCTCGCCGGGAGGTTAGAAATTTCACATTCGGATTCAGTTACCCGCCCAATCCACTGTGCCGTATGGGGTTCATAAAATGATCCAGCGGACTGACTGCCCAAGTAGGATTTCTCAACATTTCACGATAGAAACTGGAGTATGACAAATATGGAACAGTCAACTTCTAGGCTGTATGGCGTAATTTTTTGACACCTCTGGGCTTCGTTGTTTGTCCAAATAGAGAACGCACTACACTTTTTGGCAGGTGTTAATTAGTTTCGGAATATTTTGCTATACTTTTCAGTTCGCAAACACTTTCAGTTCACATTTTCTATTTGCCAGTCAGAATTCCGCATGTCAAAATTAACGCCACATGTGATCGACTCAATCGACTTGACCAATGAGGTGGCTGAAGCAGCAAATGTGGATCGAAAGTTGGCCTCCAAGGTGATATCAATGTTTGAAGAGGGCTACACGGTTCCGTTCATTGCACGCTACAGAAAGGAGGCCACGGGTGGCCTTGAACCCACTACTCTTCATCGTCTGAAACAAAAGATCACTGATTGCAAGTTTGTTTCTCACAATTCACCGGTTCACGTTATTTGAAGGATTTTGATAGAAAAAATCGATAAGTCTCTGCAGTACTTTAGCAAGAAAGGTCTCATTACTGATGACTTGTCAAGACAAATCAAGCAATGCAGGTCAATTGAAGAAGTTAAGCTAGTTGTAAGTTGTGTCGTGTACTTTCACTTATCCCCTATTTCAGACTGAACCGTTAAAACCCAAGGGTCCCCGGACGTTATGTGCAAGAGCCAAAGCTGTAAAATTGGAAGAATTAGCACTTCAACTTTTGAATTCAGGCCACTATCTTGATATTTTCAAGCAGGCCCCAGTAGAAGCTTTAGGTAAGTGACTTTATCTGTTTTTGCCTCTTCCGGTGCTACTGATTATTTGTGATACCGTGACAACAGTGCGTAGGTCTGTTGTTTTTCAAAAGAAGACTGCAGATAACAAAATTCCATTTCGTTCCCCAATTTAACACTTTTGTTTTGCAAACATTATCGTTTTCTAAAGCAGGCGTTAACCAGTGCTGGGTTTAGAAACAAGACATTCTAAGTGACTATTGAGCTCACATTCAATACTTTTCTTGATAAAATGTCGACGATTACCAACTTGCGACACTCATTCTTCAGTTTGCTGATTTCTTTCTTGTGCGTTACATATTTTTTCATCTTCATAAAGTCATTTCGTATTGTTTCTTGTTTTTATGTTTCTGTGAGATAATTACCTTATTGTCATAAAGAGAAATTTTGACAAAAATGTGCACCGTACTTCTGTGGTTCGTGATTGTTGCCTCAAAATTGTTCTACAGACACCTTCAAATCCAGAGCCGCGATTGAAGAAGCTGTTCGTCATATACTTGCCGACATATTTGCTAAGGACTTAGATTTGATACGCCATGCGGAAAAGTTGTGAGTTTACCTTCATTTGGATTATGTTTGCCATCCTTTGGACATTTTTGTCTCCGCCACTTGTTCCTTATCAAGTTGGACCGCTTACTGCTTATGCCAACTGAATGTTCGGTTGAAAAACCCGACGAACCAGTCAGTGCAGATACTGAACAGAAATTATGAAGATCCTGACTGTTCGGCTAAGTAAACTTGTTTTGTCTCGCTTGCCTAGTTGGAGACTTCCTAATCTCCAAAATCCCTGGCCAGAAATGCTGTCCTACATGACAGCATGCTACAGTCAAGGGTGTACGTGCATGAATACTATTCTTAACTCTTCTGTTCAGTCTTACTTTATCCAGTTTTATTTGTTATTTTGTAAGTAAAATTTCTCTTCCAAAATGCACCTCATCGTTCTTGTGATTAACCATGACCATGCCCTAGTCTGTTTCCTAGCCATTTAATCATGAGTTTTTGTATGTTTTTGTATATCTGTAACCATTTTCTCGCCTGCCTGGCTACTACACATCCTCCCGTCCACATGAGCTAGCCATTTGGATGATAGCCCATCTATCCATCGCATGACATCAATTGTATTGTGTCTCGGTTATCCGATTACGGGATTTATTGGGGTCCATCTGAAATTAAAATTTGTGTGGTTTTATCATTTCAGAGAGAATTTTCACCCCAGGTTGACGTCCGTAGGTTCGATCTATTTTAAATGATTCTCTACAGACCGATGGTTTTTGGGATTGCATTATGTTCCAGGTGCAATATGAAGCCCCTTTCATTATAGTGTATGCTTTGAGGCCGCAATTTCACTTCGTTCTCGATGAATGGTTACCCCTCAGCTTTAAAAAGCTTATGTCCTCATTTTTTAAGATGGCTCTTTTTCCCTGTGACTGTCCGTCAGCTTGCTGAAATTGCCGACTAAACGTCTGCTTGGCCGGTAAAAGATGTCGGCCCATATTCACTCCTTACTAGTCGGATAGAAAGAGAGGTCCAAGGGAATAAGTTACATTAAGAGTTGTTCTTGAGTTCATTCAAACTGTTCATTGATCAGGTCTCTTGTAGACCTGATCTATTTAGTCGATTTCTCAGGTTTCTGTGGTCATGGTTTCAACTTACAATCAGCAACCTGGAGTTACACTGTTTGTCCCTGTGCTAGCCACACTTTAAGCACGTGAGCTCGTGACAACTTTTGGACACTAATCCATGCTCATAGGTTTTGTGACTCAAGTTTTTGTTGATCCTGGCGGTAAACATCAAGACGAACAGTAAAATTTTTCAGGAGAGAGTTAACAAACTTGCGGTTACAAATACATCTTTGGCCGCAATACACCCACTTATTCGAGATCGTTTTCAACCAGCGTCGTGTTGTGTGCGAATGGTTTCTAACCTGAAAGGTAGCACTTCCAAGGGTTGTTTTAATAAGGTTTTCATGACTTCCGTCACCGGAGGCCGCGATGTCGCCTACTCGTTTCAGGACCTCGGACAACCCTGGACTGCGTTAAGCAATTGACAATACGGAAGCAGCCCTATTGGCGTGCGGACTACGTGATTCGGCCAGCGTTGCTATTTAGTTTGGCTGTAAAATCGCCTCATAACCATCTAAACCGATTCGGATTACTTTTCTTGTCTTACTTTGATGTACGGAATACTATGAAAGTACGGTGATGTTTTACTCCAAACATGACGTTCAGTTGTGTTTGCTTGTAGATCCCGGTATCCGTTTGTGTCAGCAGGTTTCACACCAACATTTATTTGGACAAAGAACGTTTGTTATATTCCCACATCCTTCGAATCAGAATACGAAAAGAAAGTTGCTAAAGTAGTAGTGGGGGTCAATAAGCCGCCAATGGGCGTAGCGGAATAAAGGTCGAGCAGGTAAAGAATGACGAAGGTTATTCCCAAATTGTTCTTGGAATTTCTATTCATTCTGACTGGACGAAATCGTTTTCTCCAGGGAGGAGACGGTTCTGAATTGAAACAAACATGGTTCCTTGGCTATTCCGCAATTTGATTAACAGGAAAGGCCAGAGCCAGTTTTCTGCTATTTGGGTTTTCAACACCAATCATCGTTCACCTATGGTCATTCGTTTGACCCTGTCATGGACGACGTGATTAGATGTCTGAGTGGTTAGGTGCTGTGTACTTAAGTGTAACGCTGGTGAGTATCCGTACGCCACGCGACGTAACCATTATTGTGTAATTACCTCATCCGAACAGATTGTTTCAATCAACCTTATCTTCTAAACATTATCATCGTCAGTGGTGACATACTTTGCTTATAGGACTTTCCAAAAACCTCACCACCCATCGCGAAACGTACTCATGTCTAGTATAGCTCATCACCTCAGGGGATGACTCGCCGAAGCTACAGCATCAACTAAGTCACTTGGCCGGTAGGCAACATTCATTCGGCATCCATTATGCCTAGTATGCAGCAACTTACCCGATTCTTTCGTAACAGCGTCATCTATTGACGAAGTGAAGTACAGAATTGTTACATTCATTCGGAACACAAGGCCATCAGAAACTTTCCTATGAGTTGGGTTTGCTTTCATCCTTAAACGGTTTCCACCAGTTTGCCGCTTGTCTGCTATAGCTGAGGTGTGTTTGATGGAATGTGATTGGCTTTCTGTTCTTAGGTTAGTTCACTGCCTCTTTTGCGGTTGCTTACTTTCTCGTTCGTGTTGTCTCAAAAGTTCTACACGCCACAAACCTTCTGAACAGTCCAATGTAGATTCAAGTGCGCGTAAGCTTTTTATTTTCTCCGATCTGTACATTTTCAGTAAATTGCAGATCGCCTTTCATTTCGTCTGCTGATTTCGAATCCGCACCATTTCGAATTAGGCATTTGCAGGCTTTCGCGTTTTTCATACTAACTTTTCACGTTTTGCGGGCTGGGCGAGAATGTATACTATTGAGCAAACACAAGTCTGTTCACATCCTTGTTGGTCCAAACAGCCAAGCTTGCGAGCCATACAAATTGATAGATCTCACGCAAGCGTGGTGCGATTGACCGTTCTACAACATTGATGGGACGCTACAGATGGATAAGGTCAGCGTAAGCGATACACTTCACTATTCTCAACAACCCATCCGCACTGATTTTATGATTTGAAAGCTGTTATCACTCGGGTAAATGCAGCGGTCCATAAGCTCAATCATTTAACACTTGTCATGTTTCGTGTAGGTCGGCTCTATGTTTTAAGCGGTACAATGTAATCTGTTTGTTATGCACAAGTTAACTAAATAAAACAGTGTCGTTCGTATGCATCGCCGGACCGAGGTTGCATTCCGAAGTATTCAAAACCTCCGTGTGTTTCTGCAAACGTTATCTTCCACATAATTGAACAGCTGATCGAATATTCCTTAGACCCATCACTCGAACATTCTGGCTATTCGGGAAGAGCGTTCAATTTGTAGCAGTGCAAATTTATTCATTCTTACTCTTTCCTGACCAGTATACCATAGATTGTTTGCTGTCTGTGATATGCCAAGTCACCTGTAGACTGGAAGTTGTCAGACTTCTCTAACCCAAACTGGAGCGACCGTGGTAACCTTAACT